CAACTAATACTAATTGATTACCTTCTGAAGCACGGATAGAGTTACAAGGCGAGCTTGGCCAATATGGCAAACGATCTAATCCATTTAAACGATTTATTAATCCAAATTCTTTCATATCCGTATGCCCTGTAAAGATAGTGGACACTTCCTCTAATGTACCGTTTCTCTGTAAGTAGAGTTATCACGATTACACTTATCATAGAAACAAAGGAATAATTTCAATTCTTTTACTCGATATATGCAAAATAATAGAAATATAATTTAATTAATCATGCACAAACAAATGGTTAATTTTTTATATTTATATTTTAATTGCATGCACGTCTATCTTTACTACTAATTACCCCGAGGAGAAGTCCCATTTGACTCATGGGGCGTCTTGTTTTCGGGAAAAATCGATATGCAATGCTAACTAGTGGATCATTGTATCCAAAAACAAGTTCTTGCGCAGTGACTGGAACAAATGGTGTCATATGCATTCCGCTTAAAAACATATGTAATCCCAGAGTAATAATTCGAGGTAGCGCCTTACTTTGTGTCGACAAAGTCTGAAAAACAACGTGAAATACACGAGCTACAAAATTCTTTCGTGAAAAGTTATCTTTATTTCAAAATATCAAATAATAATATTGAAATAAAGATAATATCAAATAATAATAAAGTAATGTTAATAATATTTGATATAAAGTTCCAATTTCTACAGTATTTTTAAAAATTATTAAGTATTAAGTATTAAATTATAGGATATTGACTTACAAGCAGAGGAATATTTGGTACTATTACTTTGAGATTCTTGTCTTTTGACATCTCTGGTTCAAAGTTTAATATCTTCTTGTGTTGATAACTTACAGTACCATTATTATGAAAAACAATGTTCACCTTCTCCATATCTTCCCTATAAATTAGTATATAATAAATTTAGGAAGCTTTGGTAAATTTAATTGGCAGAGTTAACAAAATAACAAGTAAATTAATTTATTTATTTTAACTATATATATATTTGTTTTAACTTTATACACTTTTAATTTTGATATATTTGATTTGAACTGAATCAGAAGAGTATTGTTTAAACTGCAATTCCTACAAGGAAGTATTAATCCAAATATTAACTTGAGTAATTCAAGAATATTCTTCTTTAAATTATGAGAGCTACATACAAGATGTTTCAATATTTTTTTAGAGAAAATGTCGAGCTGTATCGATTTATGGATGAAAAAACATATCATTCTATTTAAAAGTGACTTTAAAATCTCTGAAATCCTTTCACTTATAAAAAAAATTATTACTGCTATGTTATAACCCATTTTGTACTGAATAATTTTGGGACATCCTGTACATTATACAATCATAATTATTTTAAATAGTGATTTTTTAAAAGTTCTCTTATTCATTTCATTGTAATAAAAAGAAAACAATGATCTCATTTATTATGATTTATTTCCAATTTTAATTTTTTTTATAAAGAAATATTTCTAAAAATTTTAAAAAAATATTTTTGAAAGAAAAAGCATTGATATTTATTGTACGTACCTATATACGAATGGACCAACCTCTTGCAATTTTGGCTTCTCATTATATTGCAAGAAGTTTTCTGCATTTGTTACATTGAATATGTATACTTTGGTTAATCTAACTACTCCCGGTTTTTGCCAATATTGAAACGAAAGGGAACCGTTCCATAACCGTAGTTGCTAAATAAAAATAGTATGATCAAATTTAAAACTAAAAGAAATAAATACAATAAGCATATGTTAGTTTCAATTAATTAATAGCAATTAAGGATCAATATTTTCGATAATGCAACATTTCATTTGTAATACTTTTTTCATATACATTTTTAATATCACGTTATCATATTTTATTTTTTAATATTACGATTATGAAAAAGAATTGCATTTAATATCTGTTTTTTTTCGTCACTGTATCTTTTATGTTTTTTTTTTCAATTTCTGAAATTAAACTTAAAATTTCTAAATTTTTTAATTTTCTACTTTTATTTCAAAAATATGAACGTTATGTATTTTAATCGAAAAAAGCAATTAAATTTCATCTATCTTTTAAAAATTTATTGTACACGTAATATCTACATGTTTAATTGTTAAATGTTTGATAATTCAAAATATGAATATGTATTTATTTTGTAGGAAGAAAATGAAATGAAAATTTTCGGATTTGACAAGAACAATCGATATATGGAATAGTATAAACACGGAAACTTAGTTTCAGAACTTAGTATAATTGAAAATTGATGTAGGAGTCATTGTCAGTGGAATAAATCATGTGTTAATGTAACTTGTTCTCTGTGTGAAAGTACAAAATAATTTCCGCTTTTTGTTAATATTATTTTACGATTTGTGTATATATATGATACATTCGAACTAGAGAAATCAAAAATATTAGAAATATTAAAAAATAATCGTGATTTATGCACATGAAGTAAATTTATCGTTTAATAATACTACTGTTTATTGTGAAAGAAGAACGTTATATGAATGTAACTATTTATTGGTCAAATTAAAAATTTAATTTATTTTCATAAAAATTTATTTTTATTTTTTTATATTTTATTTTTTTCTTATAACGATTTATATATTTTCAATGAAACGTTGTAATTTATTACAGTTCATTCTTCATCTCCTATATAATTTTTTTACGTTTCACACTGTTATTAATCATAAAAACAAACTTGAAATTAAGTTTTTCTAAACGATGATTACGTCTCGAGATGTTTAAATCATTAAATATTGCCGTTCATAAAGGACGTATTAATAATAATTGTGCTTGTCTAGTGGCATGATAAATATTAATGACTATATAAGTCATATGATTTGTCAAACAGTATTTGTTTATTAATTCAATAAAATTGCGAGTCTAATGAGATAAGAATTAATTGAGTGATTAAACTTGATAAATAGGTTTAATATTATTTAATAACTATTTTAAATGTCTACATAACATTAGTCTGCATAACTGATATAGAAACTAAATGCTAAAACAAGATAATAAATCAAAAAGTAATAGTAATATGAAAAACTTGAATTAATATTTCTTTGAATTGTACATACCTTTAATATGATATAATCTACCCAAGGTATACTGCTTAATATAATACCAATTACAAGCGTTAAAACTCCTATGAATATTGCTGACAATCTACCTGTAAAATAAAAAAATGTGTTTCCATGTTTAATATGTTTTAGTAAAGATTTTTTTGCAAATATGAGAATTACAGTATATACGTATAATAACATAATATTATTTATACAGGATATTACGTTATTACTAAATATTACATTCAGAAAGTAGAACATCCGGATGCTTGTATAATAAGGGTCTAGATACGGAAGAATCTATTTTACATAATTACGAAATAAAATTTGTTTTATTTTTTTCATCTGTGCACGCACCATAGAAAATATCTTCTATATTATTACAATTTCTTTGTTTAATTATATTACATAGTATAGAGTTAATTAAATTTATGTCATATAGTTTGTATGCTTCTTTTACTTTATTACATTATTAGCGTTGCTATTACATTTCTGGGAATCCCAGCCCTCTCAAGAAACCTGTCTTGTGAAATCACTGGAGCACAAAAAATAATTTGCTTCATACTTTCTTGTATATTTAACAAAAGTATTAACTAGTCAGCGCATTATTAGTGTGTTATTAGCAATAACCTTGAAGATTAAACTTTTCTCAGTGACCTATACTTTTTCAGAATTTCTCTTTACTTAGGTTTTTTCCAACATGTAATATCCTTCACCTTTCTCGACCTGCCTCTCTCCTTTTTCAATTTTGTCCTGAGGTAAATCAGATATACATATGTCGTTAACTCTATTGCATCTTTGAATGGCCGAATCATATCTATCATTAAAAAATTTCCTAAAATGTGAATAAAAAATTCTTAAATGTGAAAAGTTAATTGTTTTAATTCTATCTTGAGGAAAATTAGATACAGTTAACTCTTGGTTGGATAGTTAGACGGGATAGACAAGTTGGATAGGTATATATTAGGTAGATACACTGCAGGTATATATATTAGTTAAGTCTATCTCTCTCAGGTTATTGAATTGTATTTTTCTGTCGTTAGAAAATTTCCTAAATGTACGTAAAAAATTCCTACATGTGAGATGTTATTGATTCTTTCTCGTTTCAATGTTACATCAATGATTTTCTTAAAAACGTTAAAATATTTTCTTCATCAATGTTAAAGCGAGAGTTGAGAACGTGAAATTTAAGAATATCAGTAAAGTTAAATTATTTACCTTTCACTGTCGATTGCATATTTTGTCTATTCGTGATTTTTATTTAAATCAAAATAATAATTGATAAATATTGATATCATTGAATGAAGAATCGATACATAGAATTCACGAAAAAAAAAAGGTATTTTGAAAGCAACTGGCAAGGAAAACTTCATTTCGCGTAAAAGATCGAACTGAATCATGTTATATGGTTCAAGGTTTCGTGAAAACCGGTTAGAAAACTTCTTGAAGATGAACGAATTGAGCATGTATTCCAGTTTTTAGCAAATATCTATTTCATCTAATTAATCGAAATTATTACGGGACTAAATTTATTAAGCAGAGATATAGTTAAAGTATGTGTCTAACGAGTAATCAAATTTTTTCAAAATAAATTTCGAAACAGAGACTTTTTGATTTATAAATTTATTTTATATTAAACGTTAAGCATTTTTAAACATATTTATATTTTCAATACTTTGCCATTCTTTAAATGTAAAGAATGACTCTTTTCTCGAGTTTAATGTAATTCATTGTACATATAATAATATGTATATATTTAACGTATAACGATAAATTATTCTGTCATAAAATATAATATATTACTTAATATATACTTTTCTTTGATATTTACAAATATATATAGCTGGCAGTTACATCAAAATTTGTTATATAATAACGATGTACAATTCACGTTTTTAATGAGTAATTATCGTAAAAAAATTACGTAAATTTAATTACACTCACACGTGTAATGAATGTATTTTCTGTACGGTACTTTACTCTGCATGTGATAGAAAAATTATATAAATGGTCATTCGATTGCTAGAGTGGCTCTAAAGGGAAAGCTGGAATATCTTTGACTTCCATTAAGGTGAGAGGTTATTAAGAACAAGGATATGACCGTGTATCTTCCTATAATGCTCGAAAAATCAACTTGTATATATCGTTAGGAAAGTAGGGTAGTACTTGAAAGTGTAATTCTATTGACTTGGTGTGCTCGTTTGCAATACGAAGATATTTGCAACCATGCTCATCCTCGATTGATAAATGATTTTATCTGTCGTTACTTATGGAATACGAGTGACGATCGAAATCGTGGAAAGTTCAACTTGAAAAGAACATATTAACGCAGTAATGTCTCAAGATGGTTGATTCGATATTGTGATTATCGATGAAATTTCTAGATATTGTACTATGAATAAGACTATTTTATTATTGGCCATAGTCAATGCATAATATTCAAAAGCTGATCGTTTCAAATGAATATCAGTTTTGTGCAAATCTTTATTGATAAATATGTTATATGTTATATGCATATTTGTTTTGTTAAAAATAGTGCAGAATCGAGATCGGAAAGTATTGATTTTTTATTCGATCGTCCAATGATTATTTAGAGCCTAAGTAATTACTATGTAGGACAAATTTCCGATGACACTAGATCGTGACATTATAAATCTTGTTTAAATTTTTAAACATTCGTCATGATTAGTGGTTAAAAAAAGATTCATCGATGATTCTTAATTTTTAAATTAAATTATATTCACACGATTATTCCTCTGCTTATCGAAAATACGAAAAAGCAGCATTTTTATAGTATTTCGAAAATATTTAAATGCCAGCTAACAAGAATATGCAATAAAATATATAGGGTTACGTTTAAAAATTCGAAGGTGATTTTGACTTCTCCAATGTTGACTTAAGGTCAAACAGGTCTATCAATATGCGGGGCACAACTTTCATCTGATATATTTTTTTGAAATTTTCCAATAAGTACAGAAATGATCGCATAAGTATATCTAAAACGGATATATATACATATTAAATCCTTTATCCTATTACTCATTAAAAAAATATATATTATATTATATATTATGATATTAAATAATGTATAAAACGCGTTTGTATAAAGTTTCTACTAAATTATTAAATCCATGTATTATATAACAAAGTAATTTGGATCCGTTGATGCCGAACAACTCGTCCTTCGAGTCGCCTTCGAAAAATTTCACTCTCACTTCAAGGACGAGTAATATAATTCTACGAAAACGCTTCATCACCGGACGTACGATACATTTTTGGGATTTTTCTTGAGGCCTCTTCACCTCTTCTTTCTTAGTATCCAATAACCTTGTTTTATAATAATCCATTAATACGTCGATAGAGGTTCTATATTCGTAAAAAACCAGGATAAGGAGATTTTCTTAAATCGGTTATGTCGAAGAAATATCAATCTTTTGAATATTTAGCGATTTCCTGAAATTCCGGTTTATTTAATCTTGCGATTCGATAAATAAATTTCTTGTTATGAAGGACGAAAGTTGTGCTATTTCTATCGTCCGTATAAATTATGTAATATTATATAATCAGTATATATATAGAAGTAACAGTGCAAGATTTTTTTTTTTCTTTAGCTAATGATTTTTGTTTAGTATTAAATCAGGTTGAATTTTGATAAACATATTATTGATGATATACAAATTAAAATTATTTCTTTAAATTGATAAATACTTTTCTCTATATTTCTAACAATTATTAATATTATTATTACGCAACAAATATTTGGAAATATTTAATTGTTATTGTTACATTTTAATTAATCATTATTAATTTTTATTTATAACTATTCTAAAGTAAATTACACTTTTATTTCCATTACTGGTCTAATTGCTAATCTTGATTACAGTTGGAAAATAACAATATATACATTTCAAGTACAAGCAAAAGAATTCCAACATTTTTAGTTATATTACTTTACTTGTAAATTATGAAGCTCTCAACAAGATCTTTGACAAGTTCAACGATCACCATAACGTACACTGTATTAATGGAGACTTCAATGCCAGACAGATGTGTCAATATATATTACGCTTTATGGTACAGGAATTTCCAACATTCTTATCTTGTTACTCAGCATTTCAAATTATGACAAACTTACACACTATTCAGAAAAGTGTATGCGGTTTTTCCTGTAATTTATAGGTCAATTGTATCCTTCGTTTGGATGTCTTGACGTGAAACTCATTTCCTACATTATAATGTACAATCTAAAATCTTGAATGAAATAACAGTTCTTAAAAATTTTAATAATTTTCTAACAACTCTTCGGATTATCCTCATTTTCTATACGGATTCTAGTATTCGTAAACAGAGTTGTACCACGTAGTAGTCAATCAAGTCGCTTAGAATCTTGTTCAACTCTTTGATGATATATAAAAGGTTACATGGTCATTTCTAAGAACTCGTTCAATTCCTCGTCTTACAATTTAATTTCAAGGTTTCGGACTATTTGAAATCATTTAGTTTCATTTATTTCGTGTTTTCCAAAGATGTTTTTACGTTATATAACGAGTAGAAGAGCAAAGACTTTTGTTCTTGAAAATTCTAAGAATTCAAATGTCCCTAAAATCACGGAAAAATTTTTCGGTTTTTCCAAAGGTGGTTTTACGTCATACAATGGATGAGGAAACAAAAAATTCAGATATCCGTGAAAGCACTGAAAAATTGTTTTTGTGACTAATTCTGCCATGATCTTGAAATATGAAGTCTCTCTTTTAAAACAACTCCCCTTTAAAAATTGTTGTTACGATGTTATTTCGCCATTTTACTAGAACTTTGAACATCGGAGTTAAACGACAAAATGCTGGAATTTCCTTTCGTTTAATCCTAATGTTTAGAGGTTAATAAAATAAAAAGCGACAAAATATCGTATAACAAGTATTAAGGAGTGGTAAAAAGAAAAATTCAATCTTCCAGATAAACCTAGTCGCGTCAAACGGTATAATTTTAGACACGTTTGAATTCTAATAATTTTCTAGAATAAAAGTGTCCTTATCTTCCCATTCATTGCATGTGTAAAAACATATTTGAAAAAATGAGACCAAATGGATTGCTATATGATTTTTTACATATATAATGATATATGTAAAAAGTGTTTTTTTTTTTTACATATATAATAGTATATGTGCAGTATATTAATTAATATAAATTGATATAATTTGGCACTCGAAACCCAATGCATCTCAGATTCTAAGACGAAGGGCCAAGAATTAGCCGTGCATGATACCTGTATAAGTGAAGCGAAAATAATCGCCTGTAAAAATACAGAACGTTCGTTAACCATGAACGGTATAAATTACCAAAGCCGTTGCATAATTTTACGATCTCTCCTTTCTCGAACGCCGCTGACCACCTTCGTTAAAGTTCGCTTTCTTCATATGTCCTCGAAAACATGGGAGCCTGGAGATGAGATTCTCTTGGTCAGAGTGGTAACCACAGGTCTCCGTTAGTCGCGTTTCAGCGTTGAACAGGCTGCCTGTCTTGCTTAATCAGCTGTTCGAGGTATGGCTAAATGTTTGTCAAACGAATGTCCGATTTTCAATCTATTAGGTCAGCTGTGACCTTCTGGACACGTTCGTGCCCAGTGTTCCCATTATTAATTTGTTCTTTCGTGCTACAGTAGAATTTCGATCATCGAAATCAACATTCGAAATTAGCTCGCTATTAGATTCAAGTAGCTTTTCCACTTTATTCTGTAAACGTTTAT